GGGCTTCAGGATTGCTGGTTGTCCATACTAGCACCAATGCGACGTACTGCTTAATGAATGCCATCTTATTTGGATCGATCCTCTGCCAAATTGGAACTCTGCCATATGGAAGGCAAAACTGGCCAAAGATAAAAGTTTGAAGAGAGAGTGAAGAACGTAGCATTCGTCTACATATATGTGATGGTTTAGTGGTCGGAAATTGAATGGTACCTACAAAAGTTGGCTTTCATTTCATTTGCTTAACAAAGCTGTCTGAATCCGTGTACTGGTCGTAAAACGATTTTCAGCTCTGATTTCAAACATTTCGAAGGCTGATGAATGGTAGAGTTTGCTTACCTCAATTTCTCCAACGACAGTCTTTATGCCGCTTTCCTACAAGTTTGGTTTATATTGCTCACTACAGTTCTACTACAAACTTATTCCGAAACACTTCTTCTTTGCGCAATAAGCATACGAAACTTCCTCATTTTCTTTTTTTTTTGTCTAAGCTAAAACCTTAAAAATATATTCAAATTATTCATACTAACAGGTAGAGGTGGCAAGTCGTTTTAAAAATTATGTATAGGGAATTTTTGGAAATAACCACAACAAGTACTCCATAATAGACACTTGTAAAAAAAAAGTTATATAGGCGGTAGTACCATTTGAAGAGATGATGAAACCGTAATTGTTGATACTTTTCGGTTCCAACTAATTAAGCAATTGACTGGATTTGAACTCTCTAGACGATTAGGAGCACACTTCTCTCGTATCGCATCTACTAATGCAGCACTTAGTCCCCTCACTTAGGTCGGTTCATGGAACTTTTCATAATTACTGGCTGCGCACACAGTATAACTGTAGTAAAACTTTCAAAAAAAACTTTTTGTTTATTTTAAAAAGAACTTCGATTTTTTTGGAGCCTTTTTAACAAAAAAAAGTGCTGTAAAAATCCAGAAAAAATTTTTTTAAAATATAATTTCGCATCAATAAAATTACTGCGTACACCGTTCAAGAAGAAGTTTTGCAAACTTGAAGCACAGACGAAGAGTAAGCAGGAATAAATATGGAGCCGCACTGCAATGTGTAGTATATCTGTTACTGGCGGTAGGTAGACTGTTGTTGGGGGAACTGAAGAAACCAAACGTTGCCATTCAGCGGTTTTCAAAATGTCTGAAATCAAAGTCCAACACTGTTTTGCGACAGCTAAGCTGCCGTTGTTCGCTTTTTTAAGCAAGTGGAACGAGCGCTTAAATCAATTGGTCATTAAACATACTATTAATTTAGAATACTTTTTTAAAGGGTAAAAAAGAGTCAGGGAAAATTAGTGGGAAAACTTGTCATGCATTAGTAAAAAGGGTTTTGTTCTGAGAGAGGATGAATATGCAGGATGGGAAAAGAAACATTGAAGACGGCAGCTCAAGAATTCCTGCGCAATTGTCCTCGTTAAATTGTTCGTTTCTTTTAATGGTGAGTTTGTTTGAAGTGAGTGGCAATAGTCATTTAGGTTACAAATGCGGTGAACGTTGGAAGAAAAAAAGCCGATTTATCTTTTAATGGTTCAGAATACTTACTATAAAATGAGCTATATTACTTTTACACTTAGGGGTGCTATTCTTATCAAGTTACAAAAATGTTCAGGTCTATATTCATAATTAACAGCGCAATTGTGCAGAAAACGTGAAATAAGTTACGTTGGTTAATTTACAAAAGTTCAAAATTTTTGTGACCAGTTTGCCAAAAATTTCAGTGGGCAAACAGTGGGTATCCCAGATCTTCACAAGTGTGTAACTCTATATTTGGTGGAGTTCTAGTGGAGTGGCTCGCTATGAAAACCGGATTTGGGTCGGAGAATCTACAGAACTCCATATAATCGGCTGGACAGACTACTGCAAAAGAAGCGGCCAATCCGACGGAACAAAAAAGTGTTACTGCTACGGCATATGAACATTTAACCCCACGTAGCAAAAATAAAAGTGGAAAAAATCTGAGAGATTTTGCATTATTTGTTCTCCTGACGTTGTCCTATCTGTTCATCTGTTTTTTCTTTAACAGGCAAAAAATTTTAAGGCTGTCCAGGATCTCTTTGATGTGTAAAAGTTTCCTGGAAAGAGCAGCGTCGACAATGCTTTCGGAGGAGGGTATTCTTCTCCAAAATGAAAGGCTTTCTGCACAAATAGAATCTGTAGTCTAGCTGGAAGATGGCAATAAACAGTAGGCCGCTACGATGAGCATGTAATAAAGTAGAAGTGTGGACGACACTATTTATATAAATACAAGACATTGCGATAAAATTCTTACTGGTCTGTATCCATTCTTCACCAACTTGTTAAAGAAGTAGAAGCCAATAAAGCAAAGGCATGAGGTATTACCATCTTGGTCGACACAAAAAACTCAGTCAGGAGCACAAAATTCAATGACAGCTTGAAATACACCTCGACTACAAAAGAAAGAAAGAGCAGGTCTAAAGATATTCTTAACTACAAACTGTGCTTTTTGCGATAGTTGTCGTCATGATGACCAGCGTCTGTGTATAGAGGTACTAAGGAGAAGGAACTAAGTACGAATCAAAAGTGGTTGTTTTTGGTGTCTGAGATTAGGTCGCTTCGCTAAGAATTGTAAAGTTCGATCCAAATGACATTTTCACTGTAAAGAAGGTCTCCATTTGTCTAATGTAGTAAGACAACATCGGAATTTTATCTTGTCCCGGTTTGAAGCCCGATCCGACAACTGACACTGAACCGTTACATTCAAGCGAGAACGAGAGTTCAGAAGAACAAAAACTTATCGGCACAATGAGCAGCCTGTTTCAACGTGGGACTAAACGGTTGTTTGCAACGACGAAGTACTAATGTGC